TAAAGGCATTTGGACAAAACGCTGTGCAGGAAATTATTCTCAGATTCTGAATTCTAAGTTGAAAAGAAGTCTTAAAGCCTTATTCTATTGGAATAAGGCTAAAATGAAGAACCTCTACTCTTTAAAGGAGGATTTGCTGAAACAAATAGAGGATTTACAAACCAAAGAGGCTGTTGAAGGTTTTCTCTCGAAAGAAGAGTGCTGGACTCTCAAAGTTAAAGTGGAAGAACTTAATTCCACTCTAGCTAGATTGGAGACTTGATGGAGATAAAGAGCAAAAGATTAAGTGGATGATGGAAGGTGACCGAAACTCTAAGTTTTTTCAGACTTTTGCCTCGGCAAGGAGAAACTCAAATTTCATAGCTAAAATTAAGAATAAATAAGGGGAAATCTTGGAAGATCAACAAGGTATTGAAAATGTCATCATCAAATTCTTTAAAGATAAATGGAAGACTAGAGATTGCAGCTTGGACAACTGGCCTATACCGTGGCATTCCCTGGAAGATGAAGATAGAGAAATTTTGGACAGAGCTTTTTCGTTGGAGGAAGTGGAGGATGTGATCAAATCTGGTGGCTGCAATGTTTCTCCAGGTAATGATGGAATTACCTTTTCATTCCTAAAAGCTTATTGGGACATTATTAAATTAGACTTTTGGAATGCTATTAATGATTTTTTAGTCTCTTCGATCATGGATCCTATGTGGAAAGAAACTATTATAGTGCTCATTCCTAAAGTTTTCAATCCTTTGGTTCCATCTAACTTTAGACCAATTAGTTTATGTAACTCGGTTTATAAAGTAGCATTAAAAGTCATTTTAAACAGAATGTCTTTGATTATACCGAAATTGATCTCTGAAGAATAAGTTGCATTCTTGAAAGGTAGATCTATTTCAGATCATGTGCTTCTTGCACAAGAGGTAATGCATAAACTCAAGAACTCAAAATCCTAAAAAGGTTTGGTGACCTTTAAGATTGATATGGAACATGCCTATGATTCAATGGGATGGCCTACCTTAAGGAAATCCTTGGAGTATTTTGGATTTCCTTCTAAATTCTCTAGCCTCATTTTGGAGTGTGTTCAAGATTCAAAGTTCTCTATTATCAATTGTAATCAATCTAATTGGATTGAAGGAAAGAGTGGATTTAGACAAGGTTGTCCCTTGTCTCCTTTCCTTTTTATTATTTGTGCTCAATTGCTCTCTAATGCTTTTAAACAAAAGGAGGATACTATTGGTATTCAGCTGAATTCAAGGGGCCCGAGAATCTTACATTTACTATATGCTGATGATGTGATCATCTTCTCAGAAACAAATATAAAGGTAGTGAAGGAAGTTAAAGCTATTGTTAAGAGCTTTTGTGGTTGGTCCGGCCTAAGAATCAACTTCAATAAATCATGCATGATTTTTGGTAAAATGGTAAATAGAAGGAAGAGGAAGATTGTAGCTCGGATCATGGGGTTCAAAGCTTCTAAAGAGCTAAATTATCTTGGTATTAAACTAGCCACAAGAAGACTGGTCAAGGAAGACTACCATTTTATGATTGACAAAGCCATGAAGATGACTAATACTTGGGGAGGAAGGATGATTTCTTTGGCTGGAAAGATTTTGTTATCTAAACCCATCCTTTTATCTTTTGCAATCTTTCATAGTACTAACTCTTTGGTGCCTAAAAGCATTCTTAATGAAATTGATAAGATATGCAAGAATTTTATATGGAATAAATCTAATGGTAGATATGGTATCCATTATGTGAATTAGAATGTTATGTGCCTTCCTTTGGATTGGGGAGGTAGAGGACTGCACTCTTGCTCTAGTATTGTAGGGCCATTGAGAGCTAAATTGGCTTGGAGATACATGGTTAATAAGGAGTCTTTGCTTCATTAAGCCTTGTATCCGAGATATGGAAATGTTCTAAAAGAAGGAGGTTCAAGGAGAACGAGTTCTTCGGCTGCAAAAATCATCTTTGAAGGAGGCAAGTCGCTTAATTCAATTATCAGGCGGCAGGTAACTAATGGAATGAACATTGATATTTATAAAGACACATGGATTCTAGATAAAAAATTGAACGAATGGCCAACGTTTATTAAACCAAATGATGACTGTAGTTTTTTGGTTTCTAACTTTATCTATAATGGAAGGTGGAAGCATTGAGAGATTATATGGGAGATGAGTTAGTTAACCTTATTTCTCTTATCAAGATTAACAAGGAGTCAATTGAAGACAAGTTTGAATTGTTATTCAAGTTGAATGGTAAATCAATTTCAGCAATGATCTCTGGTAAAAATAAAGCAAATAGTGGCAGCAAGCATTATTGGAGTTGGATTAAAAATGCTAAACTTAACCCAAGGGTTGAGATATTTTGGTGGAGGATTTTTAATAAGGCCATTCCCACTAATAAGATGTTAGAACAAAGAAGACTTCACAGCTGTAAGCTTTGTCCGGGAAGTTGTCTTGAAGATGAAGACATTGATCACATTGTGGCTAGATGCTCAGAACTGAGAGATGTTATCATCCAAGTCGGTAAATGGGGTTTTCTTTTTCCTGTTTTTTATTCTCTAACATAGTGCAGTAATTGGATGAATAAACAAGGTTCATTTATGATCAACTTGTATTGCAACTTGGTGTTCTTCTCTTGGAAGTCCAGGAATAATTTAATTCATAATGAAAAAGAAGATAGTGCTTCGGTTATTGGAGCTAAAGCAGTGAGTTTCTCCTCTTTCATGGCTCAAGGGTTTAGTAGAATCTTGGGAAGATGGGATATTAATTAGCCTTCAAGGCTGTTTAACAATCATTGGTATTCCCCTCCACCCGATTGGCTTAAGGTCAATGTGGATGCTTCATTACTAACTTCCTATAAAGCTGGAATAGGCGGTGTAGTTTGTGATTTCAACGGGAGATTTTTATTGGCCTTTGGTAAGCCTTATGTTCATTGGGATATTTCTACTTTGGAGCTTCTTGCTACTCAATCCTTCAAGGAAGTAATCAAGGATTGGATGTTGAAATATAAAGGCATGATAATCGAAGGAGACAATGCTAATGTGATGGATTTCTTGCAAAAATCTCAACAAAAAGAAACTTCTAAACATGGTAATTTGGATCTCTTTTATGGCTTTGAACATGTTATTTTCAATTGTGTGGATAGAAGATGCAATAAGTTAGCGGATTTATGTGCTAACTACGGCATTTTGAGTTCTTTTATTTGGGAAGATGTCAACTTAGACAAGATTCCTCCTTCCTTTATGTCTATTTTAAAGGAGGAATCTATAGTTGATAATCTTTAATTGTTTACTGTATATATATATATATAAATTCAAAAGTCTTCTCTCAAATACCAATGCTAATAAATGCTAATAAATGTTGGCAGCCTTCTTTCCTCACAAATAATATAATAAAAAGCATTATGTTGATGCTGCAGCCTTTTTTTCTCTCAATGTGGTAGCTGCTTCTTTCTATACATGCAAAGCCGGGCTACAAAGCTGGGCTAGAAAATAAATAATAGAGCAGGAAAGCCAGACGAGCAGCTCGATGACTCATTACAGTATCGCGAGTCGAGCTCAAGTTCAGCTTTTAAACTTGACTCGAGTTTGAGTTTGATATTTGACTCACGAGTTGAGTTCGAACACCCCCTAACTTGAGCTAGACTTGACTCGTTTATACCCATAGTCTCCATTATCACTTGCTACTCATCATCGCCCACAGCCATGCTGCTATAGCCTTCTGCCCATCGCTAGCACCCGCTACTACATTCGCCTCCGTCCGCCCACCACCACCGCACCACGCTGCCCACTGTCAGTTGCCGCCACCACCCCCGTTGCCCTCTAATGCTAGCCGTCGGTTAATGGCCACTGGACACCACTACCCACCACTGGCTAACACTGCCCGCTGTCACCTACTGCAATGGGCTGCCCACCATTATCGCCATTGACGACCACCGGTCACACAACCATCATCGCCCTCCAACGCCTACCACAAGCCATCGGCCACCGCCGACTACCCCGAGAAAACCTTTTACACTTTACACTACATTAACTTTATTTCAAGCAAAAAAAAAAAAGTAAAGTTATGCATTCCTTTTACACTCATTTAAATAACTACAAAATATTTCCTTTTATACTGCATTCCTTTTTTAAGCAACGAAATGATTCCTTTAGAGTGTGTTGAAATTTCATTGGGATTGTTGGCGTGGGAAGGTGGCAATGGATTAGTAGCATGCAAGGGTGTAAGTGAGTAAGCTAGCTCAAGCTTAACTCTTTAATGAGCTCATGAGTCGAGCTTATTGAGCCACAAGTTCAATTTCAAGCCTATACTCGAGCTCGTATATTAAACGAGCTCAAATTTGAGCTCAACGTACCTAGCTCAACTCATATGCTAGTTGTGCCTCTCAATTAACATAAAATATATTTAAAAATTAATTTAAATTAGTATTATATAACATATTAATATAAATTAATTTCATATTAAAAAAATTAAAATTACTTTAAAATTAAAAAATTCAAGTTAAACAATCAAATCATGGTTGAGCTTTTCAAATGACCTTGAACTCATAATTTTTTTAAAGAGTCTGAGTTTGAGCTTAGTAAATAAGTTCGAGTTGAGCTGGAGCTCAATAAGAATTACACGGCTTAATTTGTTTAGATAGATACTCTACTTACTCATTTACACCCCTAATAAATTATGGTGGAATATAAATAACATATAAAATTTTGATGAGGTACGTGCTATTTTTGTATATTTAAAATTTCAAATGTACCTACCGCTGTTTGTCCGGGTATTGAAGAGACGGCTGGGTAAAGCCTAAGTCCCTGGTTCGAATCCCTTAGCAAGCAGTGAAAGCCTTAAGTATTTGCCCATATAAATTGGTGTGGGTTGCATGCTAAGTAACTGGCCTAAGAACAGTACTTCCTTGTTAAAAAAAAAAAAAAAAAATCAAATGTTAATTCCCAAAAAAAAAGTTAAATAAATATTAAATATATAAATGGAGAAAGTTTGAGTGCTCTGTACGTAGATGACGTAAATAACCAGGTCAGCGGGCTTTTTCCTTCCTTCTCTTCGGATAGCAGCTGGGATTGCAGGAGATGAAAAGGGCGGCCTGGACCTCCTGTTCTTCTGCCTCGCTCATCTCCATATTTCTTTTCGTTAACTTTTTTTGCTTGATAGAACCAAGCTTTGTCTCCGGCGTGCCGCAGTCCAATGAGGGACTCTGCTCTCTCATAGTTCGACCCATGGGTTATCCTTGCACTGAATATATCGTAGGCATCTCTATTTTTCCAGTCTTAAGCCTCTCGATAGGAACTTAATGACTAATTTGCAGGCTTTGAACGATATATTTGTATCTGGAAGGGGTCATTAGTTTAAAAGTGTATGTTCTTGTCAAAGCTACGAAGTCATTCGGAGTGAGATGCTTATGCGTTGCAGCATTAAGCGCGATTCATGCGAACCATTATTATTATTATTATTATTTTGTTATATGCTGATTCTGCATGGTTCTTAGGTTTTCCTTATGAAAATTTGTAGATATCCCAATAGTTACCCATAAATAAATTGTGTATGGACATATTGACCTGTGTTATATCAAGGTAATAAGGCACCCTAATAAATGTTGAAGAATGAAGATAAATGCTTAAAATTAGACGATGCATAGTTTTTTAAGAAGAGAAAATTATTTTTTCTGTTTTTTGTTGAAATGCCTTATAGTTTTAAGCATGCCTTCAAAAAATTATTATTTTATCTTATTATCCTATACAATATGTCTGGCTATGGTGATTCAACAATTTTCATAGTTTCCCTTTGAACAACATTTTTTTTTAATGTAATATACCCATCGTTATTATTTAGATTTCTTGGATAACAATGATAATTAAAATTAACACAAAGGGTTGGGTTTTACACTCAACCCTGGCTAAAACGAATCTCTTGAAATTAGGCATTAGAATTCTGGTTCCAACAATGACATCCTTTAGGAACTCAGGACATACTTTCAGGGAAAATGCTATTACAAGGTAGCAAAGGTTACTCAGTTGAACCCCACCTTGCAAATTGAGAATCGAACAAAATTCCATAGAGAAACAATACAACAGACCCAAATGACTATTATTGGAGACACAAACTAGGATCATGAGGTTGCTTGTCCGAATATTTTGTGGTCTTGCATTGAAAATTGATAATTTAATGTTAATAAGCACTCTGAAGAAAAACTGAAAAGGAACATCTCAAGAAGGACAACTTCCTAATATTATCACTAGTTTGCATATCTTTATGCAAAAAAAAAAAAAAAAAAAGAGACTATTGTTGTTATAACTTACCTTTATTGATGGCCTCAATGAAAATGTTGATGGATTTTCTAATCACCTAGAACTTGTTCTGCAACTAGTGTAGTTCCTCTTTGAATCCTTGAATAAAGATCTGTGAGATACTAATATGATAATTTATTGGGTGTCTTGTTGTCCTTTTGCAATCTCAAGGCTAAGCAGAAATTGACCCTTTCAATTTTGCATGGCTTAACATGACATCTCTTCACTTCGTAGTTCGGTATATATTCTAATGTGATGTTGTATGATGTATTACCCATGTATGTTGCTAGTAATTTTCAGGTTTCATTTGAATTTCTGATATGAATGTTTTTCATTATGGCAGAGCCAACATTATACCTTTAAATTTGAGGGTACTAATATTATAATGAAATGATCAAATCCTATTGAATAAATATTTGTTGACCCTACAAAAATTGTAAGCCGACTTTAAAAAACAAGTCCCAACTAAACTTTATAGCTTAGTTATTGTCACCTTGAAAATTTGTACTAATTGATAATGAGTTTAATCTCCTTGATATGTTAATTCCTGAAAGGTGCATTTCACCATTTTCTTGAGAAGTTCATACCATTTATCAAATGCTTCTTATTGCATTAGTTCTAAAGAGCATGATGAATTTAAAACATTAATTATGAGTTATTGTAAAAAAGCTTCATTAAAGAAAACATTTTTTCTATTGCAGTTTTGGCTCGTCATACTCTTAAGAGGGATGAATAGTGGCGAACATGCTTTAGTAGTTCAGCTATCCATAAAATCACAATTCACTTTAGTTTCTTTATTCACTCGTAAATGATGCATTTAGTTCTTGGCATATTTTTTTCAATATTATCGTTACGGGTGGTTGTTTTGTTGATAAATAATGCATAGTAAAATAAATAGAGTATAAATAAATTTATTGTATTGAAAATATTTCTTGGTTGATTGAGTATATTGCAAATGCAAGTTATTACTATTTTGTATTTGGTTTAAAGTAGAATTAATTTAATGTATAACCCGACGACGACAATAAAGGCCGACTTGTGGTGGAGGGAAACCGACGTTGATGGGGCCATGACGAGGGCGACAATAGCGGCTAATGGAAATTAGAGGCTGGAGGCTACATTAGTGAGGGCGAACTACAATTGATGGTGAGTAGCGGTGATCAACATTGGTGGCGGGTGGTTGCCGGCCGTTCTTAACACAAATAGTATATTTAGAATTAGCCCAAATTTGACAAATTCCAAATACATTAAAAAAGAATTAGATAAGAAATTTCAAATACACGGCTATTTTACTCCGCATTTGCTATTCTTCTATACTGACACCTAAAATTGCAATACTCCTATATTTACTTTACTTTACACTAGTAATACTTGCAACCAAACAAACCCATATGCCTATGGATGAGTTAAAAACTGCATTTACGACTCTTTTATGCCTTTTTTAATAGCTTGTCATATCCTTTGGTCTTTTAATTACTCTTGGCATTTTATACGGATCATAAACCAAGTCCTTTATCCTTCTATTGGCAAATTCTTAGTAGTATTGTTTGATGATATCTTCATCTTTAATATTACTGATCGTTTGAGTCGCTAGTATTTATTTTTTATGATACTTTGAGTGGAGAGTCCGTATCAACATAAAAAAGTGTAATTTTATGAAAGATTAGAGTACCTTCTTGCTTTTTTGATCTCTTTCTATGAGATATATGCAGATCATGTTTAGGTTAAGGCAATCTTATATCAGCATCAACCTGAATCAATTAGTAGTTTTCATTGTTTGACCACTTTCTGTATTAGATTCATAATGAATTTTGCATCATTATATCTTCTTTGGTTATTGTACTAAAATAATTCAACTTTTATCATCTACCTTTTGCACAAAAAGCCTTTGGTTTTATTAAAATATTGATGTATGCCTCCTTAAATTATAGATTACTTGATTTCTAAATGGTTTTTTAGTTATCATGCAATATGCAGGATAAAACTATTATGTATACTTCTGTTAGATCGATTCACTGGACCGGTCCAGCCGGTCCGCATGGGACTGACACTTCGCAACTGATGCAGGATCTCCGCCTCCTGCGGAGATTGGGCAGCCCGACCGCCCAAGTAGAGCTTCTTAGGAAGTTTTTTTTAGGGTTTTGAGAGGGAAATTTGACTGTAGCGACTGTTTAGGGATTTCCTTTTGATTTGTATGCATTAAATAGTTTGTTTTCCTAGGGTTTGAGTATCTTGAATTTGGCTAAAATTTGAGATATCTTAGATTTAGGTTTTCTTTGGGCTCTAGCGGCGTCTAGAGATTTGGGAGAGATCGATCCTCCTCTCGAATTGAGGATCAAGTGTATCTTGTTTATTTTTCTTTCGTTAGTTAATTTCTTGCAATAAAATCTATTGTTTTCCTTGGATTTTGGAAGAATTTCTCGCTGTTTTACGGAGATTGATAGGAAATACTTGAGATCTACAAGTGTTTTCTATCAAATTGGTATCAGAGCAAGTCTTGGGACCGTTCATGGGCTGATTTTGGCGAAGTGCGGCGGCTGATTTTTGGTCGGGAAGGGACGGAGTTGCTATTTTTGTAATCCATATCCGGAATTTTTGGATTTACAAAAGTTCGGATCGAGATGACGGCCAAGAAAGTTGATGCGCTAGAAGAAAGGCTTGAAGAAGAGATGAACCAAATCAAGACAACGGTGGAGGAAAGGATTTCCTCCATGGAAGAACAATAGCCGATCTCCGGGACATGATGAAGAAAATGTTGGAAATTCACAACCAAACGGCGGCTTCCGAGGCAAAAGAGGGGGAAAGAAAAAACACGAATTTTGAAATTCATAGGGAGGAAGATGAGGTGGAAATCGGGGAGGGAGAAAGAAGGAAACCCTATCTAGAGTCTTTCTAGAGGGAGGATAGAGGAGGTAGGTATGGGGAAAGGCATGGGTATGGAGGGATGGAGCAAAGGGGTGCTGATTGGGAACACCGGGAGGGATATTATGGTCGCCGAGGTGCAGATTTTGAAGGAAGAAGAGGGGAATTCGAAGGGGGTCTGAGCTATGGCAGGGCAAGGGAAAACCGGGAAACGTGGGGTGGGTCGAGCACTTGGGAGAGGGGAAGTTATGGAGGAATAAGGGGGAATGGTGGAGATTAGAAGGTGAGGAAGTTGAAGATGCCTATCTTTGAGGGGGAGGATGCATATGGGTGGATCTATAAGATGGAGTGGTACTTTGCCGTTAATGGGCTAACAGGGGAGGAGAAACGGACAGCAGCAAGCCTATGTTTGGAGGGGAAGACACTGTCATGGTACTAGTGGCGAGACCATAGGAGACCTATCAGGGACTGGAGGGAATTCAAAGACTGCATAATAGAACGTTTCTAAACTGACCGGGGAGGAGATTTCTATGAGCAATTCTTTACTCTGGCACAGGAGTGATCAGTAGCAGATTACCGGGGGCAGTTTAAGCACCTAGCTAGTAGGGTGGAGCGATTATCAGATACGGTATTAGAGGGGAACTTCATGAAGGGGTTGAAGGTAGAGATCCGAGCAGTAGTGAAGATTTTGATGCCTCGTGACTTAGGGGAGGCCATGAAGCTGGCACAGCTGGTGGAAAATCAGAAGAATCTAGAGAAGGGAGCTAAGAGCAACAGTTCAGGAGTCTCTTACACCCAAGGGGCCTGTATCAGACAACATTAATGAGGCCACCAGGGAGAAGCCAGTAGGAGGAGGGAGTGGGGAAAATTTCAAGAGGCTGACAGAGAAGGAGATGCAAGAGAGGAGGGCAAAGGGGTTGTGTTTCAGGTGCGAGGAGAAGTATACGCCAGGACATCGGTGCAAGGACCGAATTCTTCAGGTTCTCACCGTCTGTGATGACGAGGACACTGAGGAGGGAGGAGAGGGGGAGTTAAAGGAAGAGAGGGAAGAGAAGCTGCATTTGGATCTGACCGAAGTTTCCCTGAATTCAGTAGTA